CTAACATAGTGACCTGAGGCAAAATTCATTTTGCAGTGCAAAGTAAGAGCCTGGGGGTATAGTTTAGTGGTCTTGTGTTTGCCTAGCACTTGTAAGGCTCTGGGTTCAGTCTCTAGCATCACACACACACACACACACACACACACACACACACACACACACACACACATACACACACGCACACAGGTGGGGGCATGATAGAAAAAGATGTCGGATTGGAAGGTAGCAAGAACACCGAGCTGCATTAAAGCAAATGATATTGTGTGTCTATTTCTTTTTTTTTTTACTTTATTAAAATACTGAGTTTATTTCACATGTATATTTGTCTCCCTGCCATTTCCACATCTGACCACCACTATTACTACGTCCTATCATAACATTCCATACATACTTAAAACCAAGCAAAGGGTGGAGTTCCATCCTTGAAAACTAAACAGGCATTTTAGACAACACATTCTTGGCAATGGAAACTGGACAACATTTATCAAACACAGTAGGGAAAGTTCTCACTTTGCATTATAAAAAGGACAGCCAGATATATCAACTGTTACAGAAATTAAGTAAGACGGAATTATTTCAAACTGTTTAAACCATTTTCTTAAAGAGATTTTCTCCACTGCCAGAGATCTTGAATAGCCTCCTGGTCAGTCATCTGGAAGCAATTCTTCACATAATTAATGAACTTGGCTTCCACTTTGGGAAGAGAACCACCGTTTTCTATACTTGCTTGCATTTTTGCCTTAATGTCTTCTACAGAACTAGGTCCTTTTGGTGTTTTAGGAATTTTTTCCTGTTTTTTGAAAGACTCTTGACCCTTTGATCTTGGTGTTGATGGTTTTAAGTCTTTTCCATTTTGGTTTGATTTTTGTGTATTTTTGGCTGGGGTATCTCGTGCAGATTTCTTCACTGGAACTTTTTCTTCAGCTTCCTCCTCATCAAAATCATCATCATCATCTTCGTCATCATCCTCATCATCCTCATCAAGTTTTACTTTTTTCTGCAGAACCTTGTTACCACCTCCAGGAGCAGATCGTTTTCCAGACATACTTAAGAGTTTTACATCCTCCTCATCTTCATCTTCTGACTCTGCATCTTCCTCTACAGCTACTAGGTGCTGTCCACTAATGTGCACAGGCCCTGAACCACACTACAACCTTAAGACCACAGGTGGTGTAATTTCAAAGCCCCCAAGAGAAACTGTTGGTTGTACAGACATTTTCAAAGTTGCCAGTGTTACTTTAATTGGACTGCCTTCATAGTTCATTGCTTCTGCCTCTACGATGTGTAATTCGTCTTTTGCCCCTGCCCCTAAACTAACTGTTCTTAGTGATAACTGGTGCTCATTCTCATCATTTTCCACCTTAAAGTGATAATCCTTGTCAGCTTTTAGTTTACAACCGAAAAGGTAGTTCCGAGGCCTGAGAGGGCTCATGTCCATGTCCATCGAGTCTTCCATGAGGTGGAGGTGTGCACTTCGGTGTGAGAGAAGTCGGACGGAGGAAACTGCCTGCTGCTCCTCAGAACAGACATGCAGGACGGAATCACGCCAGGGGTCTATTTCTTAATAACCAATGTAAGTTGTGTTTTTTAAAAACATTTATTGTGTGTGTGTAAGTGTCTGTGGACATGTACACGTCATGGCTTATGTGTGGAGGTCAGAGAACAAATTGTGGGGGTTGATCCTCTCCTTCTACCATGTGTGTTCCAGGAATCCAACTCACGTCATCAGACTCGCTGGCAAGTGCTTTTACCTGCTGAGTCCTCTCAACAGCTCCAGGAAGGGTTTCTTAATATTAGTAGAAATTTTTTTTTTTTGGGGGGGGCACTTTTCGAAAAGTTGGTATCCTGGGCTGGGGGTGCAAATCAGCAGCAGAGTACTTGTTTAACATGCCCAAATGCTGGGTTTAGTTCCAACAAAAACATATACATACATAAAAATTTGTATGGTTTCATTTTTTAAAATTATTTTTAAAGTGTGTGTGTATGAGAGAGAGAGAGAGATGGGGAGAGAGAAAGAGAGAAAGAGAGAGAGAGAGAGAGAGGGGGGGGGGGAGGGAGGGAGGGAGGGAGGGAGGGAGGGAGGAGAGAGAGAGAGAGAGAGAGAGAGAGAGAGAGAGAGAGAGAGAATGCCCATGCAAATATGAGACATGAGTACCAGCTCCCCTGGAGCTGCAGTTAGAGGCAGCTGTGAGCTATTCAATGTGGGTGCTGGGAACTGAACTCAGGTCTGCAAGAGGAGTACATGCTTTTTTGTTGTTGTTGTTTTCGAGACAGGATTCTCTGTGTAGTTTTGGTACCTGTCCTGGATCTCGCTCTGTAGACCAGGCTGGCCTCGAACTCACAGAGATCCGCCTGACTCTACCTCCTGAGTGCTGGGATTAAAGGTGTGCACCATGGCCGCCCAGCTAAAAAGATGGCTCAGCCATTAAAGGTTAGGCTCACAATCAAAAATATAAGAGCACATGCTTTTAATGGCTGAGCCATCTCTCCGGCCCTGGCTTTCATTTTTTTGTACAAATATTGTTTTCAACCTCTCGTGGCGTATAGGGATAACCTATCAGCATTCGTGATTTCAGATAACATTCACTCACACCCTCGTACAACTATATCTCTATTAAATAGCTGGAGTACTTCCATATGGACTGATATATAGAAACACAGTAAATTCAGTGAGTGGTAAAATTAATACAAATTCCTATCCAGACTCATTAGCTTAAACCAATCACCACATATGACTATCACACCAACCAATAGCACCCAAGCTTCCTCTTTAAGCACAATTTGGTTGATATTAAATATATATTTTCTAAACATATACTGAGTTATACTAAGATTGAATATATAATAACTTCATGAATTATAAAGACTAGATATTTTTTAATGAAATACTCTTAGTTGGCACAAGCTAAGAGACTCAGCACTGTGAATTATTTCTATGTGAAGAGAACATCTCTTAGTTGGAAAGGGCCAACAGTGTCTAGCAGAGGAAAGGAATGGGACCCAGGAGCGGCACAGGTACAGATGTGGTGAACCTGCTTTTAGTTGTGCATGATAACAGGACAGGGTCGGAAGAACGGAAATACTCCTGTTTTAGAGGGGCTCTCGGAGAGGAGGGAGTAAGAGGTGTTCTGGACCTCTGGCTCTTGGCCATGTGACAAGCTCTGGGATCTGGTGCTCATTGGTACTAAGCCTTGATTGGGGACACAGGCTCGTCCTCCAGCTGCAGCCCGGCTGAGTGCTGCTTGTTACTTTATTAGTACTTCTCTGGCCGCTGTTTGTCTTCGGGACACAGGAACAACAAGAATGCCAGCGAGCATTTCTCTTGCTTACTACATGAGTGACACCAAAGGGTTTCCTCCAAAGGCTGAGGAATCACCAAACATGAGCACACGCGTATGCACTCAGATTACCGAACGGCATTGGGGAAAGGATTCTGGTTACACTGTGCCATTCGTACCGACCACATACAGGGGATTCCAGGGATTGCATGATTCATCTTGGGTTTCTTCGGTGTTAGTATCCTTGTGAATTTGCAGGATGCTCTTTGAATGCATGCTATGAACCAATGCTTATAGAGTTGAATTTGGAACAAGATCAAACCAAGCCTTACACAAAAACATTTAGAAGTCAACCCCTAAGCCAAGCACTGTAAACTGAAATTTATGATAGAAATGGTAGTGAAAGTTAGAAACACATGACCATAAAAATAAACAAAGTTTTGGTCCTGTTGCCCATCTGTAGCTTTGTGAACCTTTACAAAGGATCCTATTGAGCCCCGAGCATCTGCTCACCCCTCCCATGTTAAACAAGGGTCCGAGGAGCTGAAGAGGTGGCTCAGTGTTCAGAGTATTGCTTCCACAGAGGACCTGGGTTTGATTCCCAGCACTCACAATGGAGGCTCACAACTGTTCATTCATAACTCCAGCTCCAGGGGACCCAATACCGTCTTTATGATCCCCATGGGCGCCAGATATGCAAGCAGTACACAGACTGTTCAAGCAAAACACTCATACACAGAGAACAAAATAAAATGACTCTTTAAGGGGCAGGGAGCATGAGGAAAGAGACAGAACAGAGGGCCACACAGGCCCGGAACTGCCTGCGAGGCTGTGAAGAGGCCGCAACATTTGATCAGAATGCAGCATATGGAAACCTGAGAGTTAGGAAACACCAAGTGGCACTCCTCTGATGCTTGCACAATCATGGCCCCTGTTTCTAAATGTGAACGAACATCAAGGACCTAGAAGCCTTGATGGACAGGCTAGTTCTCTTGGTTAACCCTCTGAATTCACTAGACTCTCTTGATGGACAGTTGAGGTCCTCTTGGCTAACCCTCTGAATTCACTAGACCCTCTTGATGGACAGGCTAGTTCTCTTGGTTAACCCTCTGAATTCACTAGACCCTCTTGATGGACAGGCTACTTCTCTTGGTTAACCCTCTGAATTCACTAGACCCTCTTGATGGACAGGCGAGGTTCTCTTGGCTAACCCTCTGAATTCACTAGACCCTCTTGATGGACAGGCGAGGTTCTCTTGGCTAACCCTCTGAATTCACTAGACCCTCTTGATGGACAGGTGGGGTGTTCTGAGTTAACCCTCTGAATTCACTAGACCCTCACCCCAGTTCCACGCCCCTTCTGTAATCCTCCCTTTCCCCTGATCTCCAAGAGAACCACGGGGGGGGGGGGGGGGGGAGTACGGTTTGTAAATCAATGACTTGGGCTAGAGAGATGGTCCAGCAGGTAAAGGTACTTGCTGCTGAAGCTAGATGATCTCAGTTCAATCCTTAGAACTCACACGGTGGAAGAACAGAACTGACCCCCTCAAGTTATCCTCTGAGTCCCAAACACGTGCCATGGCATGCACGTGCCCTCCCCCCAAAATAAATGAGTGTAATAAAATTATTTAAAAAATAAGTTGACTAAGGAAAAAACAATCTGGAGATACTAAGCTAAAGAGGAAAAAAAATAAGACATAAAAACAGATTTGCCAAAACTCACCATCAGAGGGCACAACCGTACTGCAATAAGCCGCCCCCACGCTCTGCCAGGAAGCCGGCCTCTGGTGTGCCTACAAGACAAAAGCCAGGTCAACTGTCAGGGCAGACCAATGCGAGACACGTGTGTCCCAGATAACACCAGCTTTCAAGCGTGTGAGTTTTATGGATTCTCCACGGAAAGGTTGAAAATGTAGACACAAGGAGACAACCAAAGGGGTTCCTGGCGTCCTAAACCATGGGCAACAAGCACTCTGGTGTGTTTCAACATTACAAATGAACACATCTTCACACATGCCGATGGGCACAGTCTTGTGCTGAACAAATGAGAATTATGCCTGACAAATCATTTCTCCCCAACTTTCAAAAGCAATTCTGGATAAGCAGTTCTAAATTCCCTCGCCTCTTCCCTGTTAGACCTCAGGTCGGTACCTCTTTCTTTTATTTCATCAAAGAACCAGGTCCACCGTGCATTTACGGTGTTTGAGTAGGTACTGGTCCTTGCTGTTTACTTTTCTTATTAAAAACCTGGACAGACAACTGCAGTGCTTGAGCTCAGAGCATTGGAAGGAATCCCAGGCACACACTTTTGTTGCATCTTCAAAGGGCAGTGCCGTGGCTGTGAGTCCAGGACTAAAGTCCTCAGAATTAAATTAGGCTTCATGAAGAGTACTGAACACACTGCTAACTAAGTCCTTCCTTGGCACCTTCCCTGGTCCCCAAAAGTATGACAGGAGGAAGACAGGAAGGCACTAAATAACTAAAACCCATGCCAAGGCAATGAAAACCATTTAGAATTCTGAAACAACACACACCATCATTCAGTTATAACATAGGACACATGAATCTCGTCAATTCCCACCTCCTTCCACCTAAAGACAGCAAGGAATGTAAGGCTAACTGTGGTGGTTCGAATGAGAATGGCCCCATAGGCTCTTCTGTTTGAATGTTTGTCCCTAGTTGGTGGAACTGTTTGTGAAGGATTAGGAGGCATGCCCTTGTTGGAGAAGGTGTGTTATTGGAGGAGGGCTTTGAGGTTTCAAAAGCCTAAGCCAGACCCAGTCTCTCTATCTATGTGTCTGCTGCTTGTAGGTAATCAAAGCTTCAGGTACTGCTCCAGCTCTATGCCTTCCTGCTTGCCTGCCGCCACGCTTCCTCAGAGTTCTGTAAGCAAGTCCCAATGAAATGCTTTCTTTTATAAGTTGTCTTGGTCACAGTGTCTCTTCAGAGCAATAGAAAAGTAACTAAGATGCTAATATTTAGAAAAATGTAAACAAATCATTTAAAATTACTGGAGAGAAATTTGTAGATTGTTTTGCCTTTCGGGTTTGAAACTTTGACTCATAGGGGTTAATTTCAGTTGAATTTAAGAAAGAAACACAGCTAATCTCTCTCCCATAGCAGCACGGCTGTCCAATGCAGTGAACAATCCATCTTCACCTTACCTCAGATGGCATCTTCATAATTTTCCAAATACTAATATGAAGTTGAAAGTATTTCTGAACCTCTACCCTGTCCAATGAGCTGTCTGCTTATGCCCTGGTAACCATGCTGGTCCCACATTCTATTTTTATGGTAAATCTTAGTATCTGGTGTGACTGGTCATTGTGAGAACTAAATGAGCAGTATACACAAAGCACTTACAACAGTACCTGGTATACAGTAAGGGCTCAGTAAACGTTAAGCGGTTTGTTTTGAGACCATGTTAATTCCATGGGTTAGCAGAGGGGAGACTACCATCTATACGATTTCTAGTCTGTGTATCCAGGAATCTTTGTGTTTTAAGACAGGGTCTCACTATGTAGTCCTGGCTGGCCTGAAACTCACTATGTGGACTAGGCTAGCCTCAAACTCACAGAGATCCACTTGCCTCTGTCTCCTGAGTGCTGGGACTAAAGGCATGTGCTACTATACCTGATGTAACCAAGAATTCTGTGGATCTCTCCTTTTGAATCTTTATCTGCATACTAGAGAAGCATTTTACAGACTTCCCCACATAGATCTTGCAACTGGCCTCATGTGGTGTGGTATCCAATATTAAACTCATCCCCCCGAGTATTTTTTAGTTTGTGTACACTGGCTGTGTCTCTACTGGCCCTTTATTATAGTCCTTTCTGCATTTGTTTTGTGATCTAATCTGACAATTGTTCATTAGGAAAGTCCAGCCTCCTTACATTTATTTATAGTTACATAAACATATATTTACTCTTTTCTTATACAATTTTAGAGTTTCATGTTTGTTTGCTTTTGGTTGTTGTTTTTATTTTTTCTCTTTGTCAATATGGAGGATTAAACCCAGGGCCTTGATCATGATAGGCAAGTACTCTATCACTGAACTATATCCCTAGTTATAGTCTGAAATTTTATACAACATGTTCTGATCACTGCTTTTTTGGTTTTGTTTGTTTGTTTTGTTTTTCAAGACACAGCTTTTTGTGTAGCCTTGGCTGTTCTGGAACTCGCTCTATAGCCCAGGCTGACCTCGATCTCACAAAGATCTGCCTGCCTCTGCTTCCTGAGGGTTGGGATTAAAGGTGCGCGCCATCACCACCGGGCTGCTTTCTTCTTTAAAATAGTTTCCTTAGTAAACTGAAGCGTGGTGACATACGACAGTCCCAGGACCTGGGAAACTGAGGCAGGAAGATTGCAAACTCGAGTTTACGTTGGTTTTCATGACTATCTGACTCCCTCTCTTCCCTTAGCTTTTGGGATGTCATTGCTGGGTAAGGTCTACTCTGACCCCTCATGCAAAATACTGATCCAGCATCTGCCTCTCCTGATTGCCTCCAGGTGTTTCCCCCATCCAACACACTTAACTTTCCCCCGATTTTGGGATGTCCTATTATTATTATTATTATTATTATTATTATTATTATTATTGGTTTTTTGACACAGAGTGTCTGTGTAACAGTTATGGCTGTCCCGGAACTCACTCTATTGACCAGGCTGGCCTCAAACTCACAGAGATCTATCTGCCTCTGCCTTCTGAGTGCTAGGATTAAAAACGTGTGCCATCACCGCCCAGCTGGCCCAATTCTTTTTAATAAATTGTTTACTTAGTTTGTCACTAGTATCCTCTGACCCCTGGGGCAAGAACTTTTGATTGGTTCAGTCACTGATAGTGCTTGTGAAATTACAAGTCCTCGTCAAATAAATGCTAAGTAAATCTTGATAATTATAGCTTGTGTAAAATACACTTTATGTTAAAACAAAAATTCTCCCTCTATTATGAGCACCGAGGCTCTTTATGTCCTTTCCCCATTCAGTTTAGTTCAGGGGTCAATTACCTGCCTGCCTACCTGCTCATCTCAACCCTCATCATGTGATGCTCTTGCTGGGCTTTTCTTAGATGGCCACCATTGGCGGCTGTATGGAAAGCATGAGTTTGTGCAGTTTTGGTCCCTGGTTCTCCTCTCCACAGTGTGGAGCTTTTAAAGACGCAGATCCTCCTCTGTAAATATAAAGTCTGCATTTGTTTTTATCTCAATTCTATAGATAATGGGCTCCATGCTCGCTGCCAATTCTGTAGCTAGTTTCTGCTCTTACTGCTGCCATGACCAAACTTCTTCCTGGAGAAGAGCTCACAAGAGATGAATTTTCTGATATATTAATTCCTAAACTGATCTTTCCTGGAGGACTTGGTAAAGTCCTGAATGTTGCTCCTGGGGAGTCTGAGGCCAGCCACCAACTCTGAAGAACGGTGCCTGCTTGGCTTTGCTGAGGCTCTGCAGCCACAGGTGTCGCCTCCTGAGCTCTTCCCACACACCTATTCAATCTTGACCAGATCCGGCAGCCGTCCTATAGAGAGAGCGTGCTGTGACACTGCTCCTGTGTTGAAGATGGAACTTAGAACCTGCTTTCTTCCTCTACCTCCTGTTCTGTGGCGTGAGAAGGGAGGGGCGGTTGTGTTTAAGGGGCCATTACTGTTACATAGTGACCTGTGCCATCACCATCTGAAACATGCAGCAGTAGAGAGCAAAGTGGGAAGAAAATCCCATGTACCCATCACTCACTTCAGTAGTTCCCAACATTTTGTCAACTCAGTTTACGAGACCCACCTAATTTGCTTTCTTCTAACCCAAGTCAGTCAGTCTCTCTCCTTTTCCCCTCCTCTCTCCCCCACAGACCCCCTCCTCTGTCTCCATCTCTCTTTTGATGTTTATGAAACACAGTCCCATGTAGCTAAAGCTGGCCTCAAACTTGCGATGTAGTCAAGGATGCTGCTGCACTCCTGATCTTCTTGCCTTCCTCCCTACCTTTCAGGTGTTGGGATTACAGGCATGCATGAGCATGCCTCATCCCCCCTCCCCTCCCCGAACATCTTAAGACATCCAAACTATCAAAACACTTCACCTGAAAATAGTTCAGATGACATTTGCTGGAACACTGCAAAAAACTAGAAGGCCTCTATGATTTTACAAATTATCCTTAGCAGTATTTTTTTGTAGGGCATCAATCAGTACATGATTGGATGATTTCTCTAGATGCTACAGAGCAGGGGTTGGCAGGCCAGCCACCTTTTTGTAGAGTTTTATCGAAACACAGTTGGGCTCACTCATACCCACAGCTTTAATCTACGCTCTCTCTAAACAACAGAATTCAGCATCTGGGTAGCAGTGAGACAGATGAGTAATTTCAACAGAAAACCACAGGGTCTAAGAAACCTAAAATGTCTATAGTCCAGCCCTTTAAAAAGAACCTTAGTTGTTTGTCCCATGCTATAAACAAAGCGTATATGGTGTGGGGATAACTTTCCATACCACTTCTATAGAGACACAGACAATCATACCTAAAAAAACCTATTTAGGGGCGGGGTTGCACTCTGTGGCATAGGTTGGCCTCAAACTCCTAGACATAAGCCATCCTCTTCCTCAGCCTCCCAAATAGATGCAACTTACAGCCACCATACTCCTGTTCTTATTTATTCAACAGTCCTGACACACATACAGATCCTTATTTTTCTTTAGGCCGTCTCATGGTTTACAGTCCAAGGAGACTAACATAAATAAAAATGATTTTGTTCTAGCCATTTCTCCTTGAAATATGGTAACAACACAGAGCAAAAACAAGCAAA